CAAGGAATTTTATATAATGACATAGGTAATCTGAAGTATAATGTTATGGCATGTTTTTATTGCTATACAGTTATCTGCAAGGTTTGAGAGGACTTGGGGCAAAACATCCTTTAAAGTATCATCTTATGCACCAGCAGGCTATTCCAAGCTGGTATCTTGCTTTGCCTCCCTCATATTTTACTACTGACAGCCCCCTCTTCTTCTACTGATGTTTCAATTATCCTGCTTCCTTTTGCTTCCTTATCATATTTTTTTTCAAGGCATGCACTTGGCTGTGCAAAATATCAGCTTCCTGATTTGAAGTAAAATGAAGTATGTTGTTGCTCAGTTGCTAAGTCATGCCCGACCCCATGGATTATAACATGTCAGGCTCCCCTGAGCTCCCAGAGTTTGCTCAAATTCATGGTCATCGACCTAATGAATATGAATTTGGGCAAACTCCAAGAGACAGTGGAGTTCTGGGGAGCCTGGCATGCTAGGGTCCATGGGATCACGAAGAGTCAGACGCAATTTAGCGACTGAACAACAACAGCAAGTGTAGTCTTACGAGGTAGTCCAGACAAAAAGCATGTCTAGCTCCATCCTTATTGTAAGGTCACATTAACAGAATCTTACAATTCTGAAAATACCTCTGCCATCCCTTACTTTTACTCTCCTGGAAAGTAGGGAGGGTTCCTTCTGAGGTGCTTTCTCCCTCCTCCTTTGAACTTAAAATTCAGTTATCAGACTGTTGTCTAGGCTGTGGACTTGCCTCCATTTTCCAAAGTCATTCTCACATACCATTACAGTGTATTATCTAGTTTTTCTGTAAATAGGTAATAAAAGTGGAAAGAAGTTCTAAAAGAAATATAAACCATTGAGAGTCTTGCTGGAATGTGGTGGTTTGTAGGAATGGTTAAACAAATGTGTAAATCACTAATCAATTGAACATTGTTTACAAATAATCATATGCTAAGTCAAAATCAAGCAAAGCACATTCTACTTTAGATACTAACCTAGTCAAAGATCTTGGAAAAGAAGGTGAGGGCAGAAACTAAGAAAAAGTTACTCAAATATTTTAAAATATAGCTAAAAGAATTATTTTTTCTCAGAAATCTGTTTGATCCACCACTCAGTTGCACATGGATATAGGTGAAGCACCACTTAGTTGCATATACATATAAGGTGAAACAAGTAGTCTACAATATTGCATAGGGTACCCATGAAATGACATAATTAACAAGTAATTAAGAGCTTTGTATTTCTTTTTTTCTTTTTAATTTTTTTAATTTTTTCCAACATAAACACAAAAAAGAAAATTTTTTCAAGAATGAAGTCTTGGTCCATTCACAAATGGTACACTAATTTAACAAATGAGAAACAAACAATTTTAACATAAATTCCAACATTTTAATAATTTTTTCTATTAACTCATCATACATCCTAATCTCCTACTAAGGCAAAGCTCCTTTTTATATTCAATCATAAATTCAATTATAAATCAGAATTCAATACTGCTTTATCTAAATTTTTTATCCCTTGCTCCTTTTGACATCAACATTAAGCACAAAAACAATCTTTTCTATTAATCTATATATTTACCTTACAATTTTATCACCACAAATCTTAATTTCCAAATGTATACAACTCAATTTTTATTTCAATTTATTAATCAAAATTTCTTTCTATTTTTCTCGTTTTCTAAACCCAATCTGTCCTATCATATTCTTAAACTTTTACACAGAGATCTCAAAATTTACCATTTCATTTTAATTATCACCCATTTTTTTTTCACCGCTTATTAATAGTTATTCTTCAATATATTTTCCTCATTCTCCTCTATTACTCCACCTATTTATTTGGCTGATTTCCAGCATAGCATATTTTGGCTGAGTTTTCAGCATATTATCCTCCTTAGCTTCCCCTTTTATTTGGCTGATTACCAGCATTTTCCATTGTTTTGGCTGATTTCCAGCATGTTTTGTTTTGGCTGATTAACAGTATTTCATTATTTGGCTGATTTCTCAGCATATTCTCCTCCATTAACTCCAACTTCTATTCTATTAACTTATTAAAGATTTCTTTTTCCATATGTTATCTATTAATCCATTATTTCCAACTGTACTCTTCCAGGGTGTTTCCCCATTTATTTCTTAATATTAATCATTCCAAGATATATTAAGTGCAATTACAATTATAACTTCCATCTGTGTACCTTAATACATCATCTAAAATCATTAACAATTGATCATAATTATCATCCACCATTTTGTTATCAAATTAAAACTAAAACATGTTACAATAAATTATGCTTTTATAAACATATCACTTTTATTCACCTTTACTTCCCATTTCTATTTTTAATATTTCTATCTTTGTTTACCATGAACACTACTTATTTTTATTTAAAATTCATTTAAAATTTGAACCATTTAAACAATTAAACATTCAAACAATTTATCTATTTTGCTTCTTCTTTTCCTTATCTGTCCATATGCGTTTCAATTTAAAGTCAGTACTTCTACGCTTAAAACTTGGCATATCCTTTTTAATTCTATTATAAAGTCCGTTTCCAGTAAAACATCAGCTTCTCCACTTCTGGTCCTGCACCAAGTCTTTTATTGCTGCGCTAGTTAATTAAAAGTTTATTAAACATTGTATTTCTTCTTTCTTTATGTAGCCATCTAATGACAGAATAGGAATCTCCAAAGTTCAAAAAGCCATAGTTCTTTTCAAGGCAATCCACAATATGTGACAAGTCAAATGGTTCTTTTCAGAAAAGAACAAGTTACCGCAATAAACACTTTCACTTAGTCACAGCTTCAAACACCATTTTGAACATTTATGTAATCCGTTTGATCTATTTGTCTGTCTTTTAAAGATGGCAAATCCTTAATTTCGCTTTTCTCTTTTCAAGTTCATTTCAGTTTTAACAAGAAAGTTCAAATATCCAGCTCTGTTAATAAGCAATTCCCTCCAATCAGTGGTGAAATAAGGTTCTTAAAGGGTTTAAAACTTCTTTCCCCCGCCCTTTCTTTTTCCAAAATCTTCAAGCCCCTCAGATCTTCAGCTGCTAAGTAAGGCTGGGGGTCTTATTTATTAATATCCTCTTTAACGCGTTGTTCTCGCCTGGGCTGGTGTCACTCACCCGGCTCCGAAGCACATTGTCTTTTCTTCCTTCCTCCTGCAATTTGCTTGTCCCGATCTGTCGCAGTCTCGAGGCAGCCGCCATGGCTGCTATCCCCCGCCGCTGACTTAGAGGGTTGCCTCTGGCCTCCGAGGAACTTGCCCATTCTTCTCAGCCACCCAAGGGGTCCCTCTCTTTTCCCCTGTCCCTTCAGGACAGGGTAAGTCCGCAGACCTGTCAGCGGCGGTTAGCCAGTCAGGGTTTTGGTGGGGCTCATCAGAACCCCACCATTTCCCCGACTGCATCCCCGCGACACCAAACCAGAAGAAGAGAGCTTTGTATTTCAAAGCAGTGTAAAATTCTGGATAAACCAAACAAACAGAAAACTTATAAAATGAAATGGGATTGGTTGTAAAAATGCAGACAAGGTACGTAGCTCAATAAAACAGAGCTGTGATTGGGAAAGAACTATGAAGAACAGTCTGGGAGACCAAGTGAATTCTAGGTTAATCGAGACAGAACTAAAACCTTGACTATGGTAGGAGACCAGACAGAACAATTGATGCCCAAATCTAACTTCCATTAGAGACTTCAGAATGAGCTGAAAGGTATTGATGGGATTGTGATGGAGCAGAAGAACAGGATCAATGCTGCTATTTCACTGTGTTAAAGTCAGCTAACTAAATCAGGGGCTGGTTCCTTTTCTGGAATTGAATCTTTAAGTTGAAACAGTAAAAATATAAGACAACTTATATCTAGATAGAGATCTAGAATCTTTGAACTCATTAATTGCTGCAGACTTTCATAGATGAGTCTTCAAACATTATAGAACTTACTTGTTTAAGGGAAACATGCATAATCTGTCTTTAAAAAACTGAACCATTTCGGTCAGAACCAAGTAAATAACTTGCTTGATTCCAAATCTAATTTCAGTGCAAACTGGATTCTGATGTATCTTTGGTGTCACCAGGAATAGAACCAACTTTCTTTGCTAACCAACTTTCTAACCTCTCTCTCTCCCCTCTCCCTTTCCTACCCATCTGTTTGCTGCTTTCGTTTCTTCCAGTTTATCATCTCATCTATCTCCTTGTTATAATGAGAGGGCATAGAAAAGAAGAAATAATTTCTTAGCGGTGCTGGAAAATTGTATTCTCCAGTGGCCTTGGCTCTCATTTGCAAATTGGTGCTGTATATTAGGCATTTGTGAGGGATAGAGTAGATTTCTGTTTCTCTTCCCTCCGCTCCTGAATAGGTTGCAAGGATAGTGGGGGTGGGGATGAGGAAGAAGGAAGAAAGAGGGAAGTGATTCTGAAGGCAGGTGAGAGATGAAGAACCTGTTGGTTCTCCAAACAAAAACGCTGAGCCAGAGATGAATCTTGGAGCATGCTTCATATTTAAAATGAGATTGTTATCTACTAAGGTTTGCATCTCAAAAGCAGGGAAGATGAGCATTTGTGGTATTATTACTTTGTTAAATGAATGTGGAAACATAACAATTGGTTTTTAAATAATGTTTAGATTAGCATGCTAATGTGATTTTTGTCTAATGTTCTGCTTATTTGTATTAACTTTTAATTTTAACAATATTTATAAGATGATTTCCAGCTGAACACATTTATGAAAACTCTCCCACATCTGGAATCTTTTTTTTTCCTTGTATTCCATTATTCTGACAGCTAGAAAAAAAAATCCCTCAAATAAATATCTCCATTGCCATTTTTTTTTTGCAGTTGCTGTGTGCAGGCACTGTAGCAGTTTGGTGCCCAGATATATGTTTTTGTCCTTGCAGGTTAAGATCAGTCATAGACTGCCAGGGCTGCACTGTGCAGAAAGACCTTCATGTTCCAAAGTAATATATTGTCATTATCTCTTTCAGGCAGAAGTGAGCGCTGAAGGTTCTTGAAGCATGAGAGACAGCCTGATTGTTGCAGAAAGAAGGCATGGTGGTATTTCATGCTCAGAGTATCTATGTGTTTGGCAGAAAAGAGAGTCGACTTCTGTTGCACCAGTTTACTTGGGGGAACATGAATTTTAGATAAATCCTGTGGCTATTCTCTAACTGTGTAATGCATTATTGATTTAAAAATAGAGGCATGGGTTATCAGCCATCTGTCAGCCACTATTTATATCGTAATTATAATTTAGGTAACAAACCTTTGGGCAAAACAGTTAGAAGTCTATTAAAATCTACTCAAGCAGAAAATGCAGTTTTCCTGCTTATAAAAGGTAGTCTTCTTTGAAAATATTTTGACTCCTGGGCACTTCATGGATGTATCTATGTAGTTTTTGTCATGTAATATGGATATGGTCTGCCGTTCCCTTTGCCTGGCATGTCTTTCAACTTCCCTGTCTGGCCTACAGTCTGCAGATTTCCTGGTTTTCTATCCAGGTACTGTTCTATCCAGGTACTGAGCAAGTCAGTAGCTTTTTAAGATCGTGTTTGTAACAGTGTAAAATATAAAAAGGATTCTATTGAGCATAACCAGGCAAAACGTAGGCACAAGAGGCCGATATATTATTTTATTTAAAAAATACATTTAAAAGTTTATTAAACTTTTTAAACTAATGTATTAATAATATTAATATTAATAATGAGCCGTGGTGGCACAGTTGTTAGAGTGCAGGCTACTTCTGCTGACTGCCGGCTGTCTGCAATTTGGCAGTTAAAATCTCACCAGGTTCAAGGTTGACTCAGCCTTCCATCCTTCCGAGGTGGGTAAAATGAGCCAAATTGTTGAGGGCAATATGCTGACTCTGTAAACCGCTTAGAGAGGGCTGTAAAGCACTGTAAAGCGGTATATAAGTCTAAGTGCTATTGTTTATTGCTATTAATCAGATGAAACAAGATTGGCTTTGGGTTGGGTTGGGTTGGCACTAGATTTCAGGATATCTTTGGGTATAATATACAAGGAATTGCCCTGTTACCAAATATCTTAACTACCCAGCCTATCATTACTATCACCAAGATAGTAGTAATCCCCCACCTTCCAGATATGAAGTCAATCCCAGGTTTTTTTTAAAAAAGGAAGCTATTTCAGCCACTCCTGCATTACATACTGATTTTAAAAAACATCCAACTTAGATTATCCCCATTAAGTGATAATGCAGTTTTTGGCTCCAGCAATTTTTTTGCTTGTGGATGCCATATGGTAGTCATTCTCATTGTTAGCTATTTAGCACAACTGAAGAGAATTATTGGCCTTCAAACTTGAACAGATCTGTTGGATGCAAGGAAGGACAGTAAAACTATCCCATTTATTCCAGGAATCCAATATAGATAACTGAGTTCCCTGTGGCAGGAAGTGAGCAATCTGTTCCTAGAAGGCCAGCCGTACATGGTAATTATTTGGCTGCAAGCAAAGTGGGCAGAATACGTTTAACATAACTGGTCCCACTTTTTGCTGCCAAAAGTTGCATGTGGTGTGTGGATTGCAGGTTTTCCATTTTAATTTGTGAATTTAAAAGATAGAAATACCACTGGAGTCAACTTCTCAGCAGAAGTTCAGAACCTGCAGACTACAGAGCTTGAGTGAAGTTGTTATGAGTCCTGTGTTCTTCCCACATTCTCTGACCACCCCAGCAGTAAATAATAAGCAGCAAATAAATTTTTTTGAAAAAGACAAAATTGCTGGGAATGAGATAAAAGGAACTTGCAAGAACAGAAAGGGCAACATAGGAGGTAGAATATATGGAGTTCATCTGGTAGGGGTTCCCTCAACCTTGGCAGTGTGACTACTAAAATAATACTATATTTATCTGTTTTGGGAGTATAATGTAGAGATGCTGTGGCATTTATAAAAATAAGTGATTTCCTTTATTTGCAAACGGACAAAACAAATTTAATTAAGTAAATTTGCCAAATCTGCTTTTAGCCTCCTTGTGTTTCACAGCCAACTTGTAAGCTCAGCTACTTAACATACATTAGCTATACGTACCTCTAATTGATTTGTAGATAATGCAATGGAAACAGGGTCAAAAGTGACTAAGAAAAATGCCTGTGCTAATATCCTGGAAACAATTCTGATCATCCATTCTTCTGTGCCATTTTGTTGCCTGTTAATGTATTCCTAAAGAGGGGTCCTTTTGTAACAAGTATTATAATAGGCATTGATCAAGGATTTTAGGAGTTAAGTGTAAATTACTCTAAACTTATATTTTAATGACAAAATAAACAGTCCTTAAGATGAAAAACACAAAAACAAAGTTTTGGCCCAAAGTTTGCTTAAGTCTTTCCTATCTGATATCCATAATCGCTGGGAATCCTAGGAGTTGCAGGCCTCATACAACTTAAGTGATCAAATTTGGGAAGGCTAGCCTACTATCTGCAACTTTCCCAGCTCTTTTCTATCTATTTTTGAAAATACCTGAAAGTAAACTGCAGAATATCTTTATTTAAAGAATTTAAAGATTAGCAAATAGGTGCTATGATTAAGCAAATAGTTTAATTTTTTTCAAGTTTCTGGGCCAGCCTGAAATTTTAAAAAAAATAGCCATTGTTTTAAGAGCTGCGTTAGATTGTCAAGGAAATCTGCATTACAGCTGTCATGGAGAAAAACTGTGTGGTCTAGAAAACTTGACACTGACTTGATGGTAGATAATCAATAAATTAATAGTAATTATTTATCAGGATCTCTTTTTTATGTGTAAACAGAACTCTGAAAGAAAGTGAGCTGGTTCAATGAATGTTGGAGAAATACCACAGTCAGGTGAGTTCTAAACATTAGTTCTAAAACATTATTTTAAAAATATACATCACCAAGAGCTGTGATGGCGGAGTGGTTAGAATGCAGTACTGCAGGCTAATTCTGCCAACTGACAGCAGTTCAATTCTCACTGGCTCAAGGTTGACTCAGCCTTCCATCCTTCTGAGTTCGGTAAATGAGGACTCAGATTATTGGGGGCAATATGCTAACTCTGTAAACAGCTTAGAGAGGGCTATAAAGCATTACAAAGCAGTATATAAGTCTAACTGCTATTTCTGTTGCTGATACCAAATATTTGTATGGTTGGTTACCCTTGAATGAAACTGCCTAATAGATCTACTACTTGGTATCCCATGTTCAGTACTTGAAGCAAGTCCTACATGCCTTTACTTTGCCTTTTGTATCCTCACTAGGACTTGGACTGTTTAGGTGTTCAGCCAGATTATTAACTCTTAATATCTTCTGGTTATGAGTAATTCATTTTAGAATTAGGCTGTATAGCTACTATTTTGCTTTTCCTAATCTCTGACTTAGAATGGGACATTAATTATATGTAATTGAATGTGGTTACAGCCTACTTCCCAAACTTTGAGGATTCACAGCAACCTTAGTGTCTCAGTATTTTTTTCACAGTGCTCTAATGGCTCTCAAGATGTGAGCCATGATTCTCCGGCATGCTGCAGTGAACTCACTAATATCTTCATTCATTAACTAGTAAAATATCATGTGGTGCATCTGTGAGTTTGCTGTAGTGACCCGGGGCACCATCGTTACAGTTTGGGAACCATGAGTCTAGTGAATAATTGAGCATCCTGGAAGATTTACTGTTTCCCGTATTAAAGAGGACATGTTGCATTCAGCTGAATAGGGCAACACTTTCTTTACATTATTTTTATTCACCATAGGACAGTGTTGGTGAACTTTTTTGGCACTGAGTGCTGAAACGGCAGTGTGCGCGCGCATGTGTGTGTGCCGGAAACTGGAAGAGCAGCTGCCCGGTGCGCATGCATGTATCGGGTGGCTGCTCTTCCAGTTTCCAGCGTGCGCTTGCGCACTGGCCACCTGATCTTGGTTTCAAAGACCAGCTGGCCAGTGTGCATACGCGTGCCGGAAACCGGAAGAGCAGCTGCCCAGTGCGCATGCCAGCTGGTCTTCGCACATGCATGTGTACCAGAAACTGGAAGACCAAGGGGCTGCTGCCCATGCGCATACCAGAAACTGGAAGAGCAGCCGCCCAGCATGCGTATGCGTACCGGGCGGCTGCTCTTCTGGTTTCCGGCGTTCCCGCGCGTGTGAAAACCAGCTGACTGGCACACTGGAACCCGGAAGAGCAACAGGCAACAGTTCGCGAACCCGGAGAGATGGCTCTGCATGCCACTTCCAGCACACATGCCATAGGTTAGCCATCACGGTCATAGGAAGTTTGTGGAAGGGGATACATGCATTGAGTAGTTTTGGCACTCTTGACTATGGACTTCTGGATGTTATCATCTCTGGTTTTCTCAAACTTGACTTTTTTGTTGCAGTATTTGTCTGCTGCTATGTATTCTAGAGAGGTATCTTGTTTTCTTTGTTCTATTTTCAAAGATGGGACGTGAATCAGTTACAAATGGAAATGTCTGCAATATAATATATAGCTATATAATAGCAGTTACACATTTACTGCTAGTTCCTAAATGTTTATGACAGCATTTCATATAGGCAATGGCTTCAGAATTCAAAATAAAAATGCAACATGCTGCTTCCTAAATTATCCAAGATTAATGGCCCTGTACAACAAGTCACTCATAAGAAAGGCATTGCTCAGCTAATAATTGGTTAGGATGGGATGTCTGAACCACAAAACTAGGAAGTGTTTTGTATTATCCCATTTTGCATATTACTGAACTGGGGAATGTGTATTTCCAAACAAAAGCCTTATATGTTCAAGTACGTTAACTATTGTATTCTTGTATTATTGCCAAGCGCGTCACGTACTATTGGCCTTGCTGGATAAAGCAGATAGGAATCATGACCAGATGGGCTAATTCTACTTTATTGTAAAGCTACATTGATGGGAAGGAACTGCAGTTCTATTTCTCTTGTCCTTTATAGTCCAAAAGACTAGGAAAGGTCTTTTCTAAGCCTCCCACTATTCAACTACCTGTTTGACTGTCTCATATCTGACTGTTCCCTTGGCAATGTCCATTCACCTAGTCTCCCAAGGTCTTTCCCATTATACATGCCATTCCAACCATAGTTTAATTTTTTTGATTATTCATTTGACTTCAAAAAGCCTGGACTAGAGAATTAATCTGTACAAATATCTACATTATATATAATATATTAATATCTACATTATACATATAATACATTATATATAATGTATTAATTCTCTTAATTTTCATTAAGAGAAACATGTTCAATTCTGTAGTTGGGCGAAGGGTAATGTCAAATTACCACATTCAGGAGAACATTCAGTATACAGTATTTTAAAAATGATATTTTAGTATTGTTCTAGCATACATTTTCAGCACCAATGTAATTCATAATGTCCTTTTGTTTTCCCAAAATGGACATGTAAAATAACAGATCAGGTGTTGTATGCCATTCTGTCATTATGAGATGCAGTTTCATATAGTGATTAAAGGCATTGTATTAGAAATGGAGAGACTATGTGTTCTAGTCCTGCCTTAGTCATGAAGCCAGCTGGTTGACTTTGGTCCAATCACTCTAGGCGCTAAGAGGAAGAAAATGGCAAACTATTTCCAAAATGTCAAGACAACTGCGGGGATTAGTCCAGATAGTCGCCATATACTAGTCATAACATTGTATGTTTGCATACAGATAGTCCTCACTTAGTGACAGTTGGGACTGATAAGGGCCATGATTGTTAACTGAAGTATCATATGACTGCAATTTATAATTTTACATCTGAATTCTCTATTAATTCTGCTAGTTGCAAGTGTTTGGGAAACATGCAAATGATAATCATTTGACCACAGGATGTTGCAACAGTAGTAAATGGGAGGATTGTTTGCAAAACTGCTTCTTTTATACTGTTGTAACTACAAAATGAGGCACTCTATAAGCAAGCACTACCTGCACAAACTTTCTGAAATTATTTTCCCAACTCCCAGCTGCACACTTAAAGTTTGAAGGTAAGTATAATCTTGCCTTCACTTAAATCAGTGCAGTTTAACAGTCTAATCCTTAATGTAATTACTTAAAGAATCCTGTTTCCTCAGTGCATCTAGTAGTAAAATTGAAATCTTAGACTGCAGAAAATTGTATTTGCCTGGTCCTGTCTCTGAGATTGCCTTTGGCGCTTAATTTTATTTTAAGCATTACGAAAGATTGATTAAGTGTCATCAACTCATTTTCAACTCCTAGTGATTGCGTGTGAGATAGAGTTTCTCCATATTGATCTTTCCCTAACCTGTTCTTTCAAGTTTTCCAATACTGCATTCATTGCCACTGTAACTGAGGCCATCCACCTTGCCTTATTTTTCTCTTTCCTAGCAATAAAACTTTTTCCAGAGCTCAATCTTCATATAAAATATCCAAAATAGGATAATCTGAATCTACTTTTGAGTATTTGTTATTAAAACAATAATATATATATATATATATATATATATATATATATATATATATATATATATATGCACATATCATTAGAATTTGCTTTAAGTGATATTAATGTATTACTTAATCTTGTAAAATTTATACTGATCAAATCCTTATAGACTATTTGTATTGATATTTATCATATAATTTTCTTGTACATAAATTAATTCGTTTTAGTCAATAAGATTATCTTAAAGCAATGAAAAAAAAATTTCTTGCACATAATTGATTCTCAAGAAATCATATGCAGTCTCTTCAAGAAATAATCTACTAAAACCCTGAAAATTTAGAACACAAGGCGTATCTACTTAGTAATAAGGGCCCTTGCTCCTTTTTTGTTGTTATTGTTAGTTTTGTCAGCATTTCTACTGCATTTTTTAATATGTTGCTTTAAAGGGCAGCCCATTCTTTACTTTTGTTAACCTTTCTGAAATGCCCTTACTGAAGTGTCATGGTTCAATTGATAATGTTAAATATAATTGTTTTCTCTTAAATTTTCTGAACACTTGGTGATGTTACAATAGAACTCACAAATAATCTTCTCTAGAGTGATAACATTTAACCTGTTCCTTGTTTCTCTTTTAAGTTGGAGATGAGAAACCTGAAGCCCGTCACTTCTGTGTCTTGCTTGTGTTTAAAAAGCACGTTTTAATTAGCAAAAAATGTTGAATGTGCAGGCACTTATCACACCACCTACCTACATCATGTGATCACAATTTGGGCACTTGGCAACCAGTTCACACTTAAAACTATCTGCAGTGTTCTGCAGTCATGCGATTGTGATTTGCGACCTTCCCAATCAATTTCTGACAAAAAGTCAATTGAGGAAGCTATATTCACTTAATGTCCATGTGGTTTGCTTAATGACTAGTAAAAAATTGGAGCTGGTCATCTGATTGCTTGCTTTATGACCTCCTTGATTTATGATGGATATTTTAGTCTCAATTGCGGTTGAAAACTATCTGTATTGAAATGTTTTCTTACCATACTACTTCATCATATCACTCATAAAGTTATGCTCACACATTAGTCATATATTAGCTTTCCAGTCTGAAATTCCTATTACCCTCTTGCGTATTCTGCACACATCCAGACTCAGATGACTTACCATCCCATTTGCCCAAATCTTCTGCTCTGACACTGAAAACAAAGCAGAATCTGAGAGTGAGTGATGTTCACACTCTATATACTTGCCAGGATACAACTGTAACTGACAGGTTAACTGCTTTGTGAAGCCATAGTGCTTGCAAAGAGCTGACAGCGAAGCATAATGTGGTCTCCTTAGCCAATAGGTCAGTACAAAGATGGCCCAATCAGTTAATGTTTATCTAATGGCCAGCCCGGAATCCCTCGTTCTTCCTCTGCCATTTTCTCATCAAAAGTAACCCTGTAAAAACAAATAATTTCAGGTGTTTTTATTTATTAAACACATTTATACAGCTGCCCAACTCACACATGATGACTTTTCATGGAGGCAATCTGCCAAGCCACCTATTCTGCCCTGAATTTGGAGCCCTTTTGGTTCCAATTTCACTCACAGGAATAAGATGGTGAGAGGTGAGTTACTGGACATTAAAATCATCCAATAGTGAAATTCTTGTTTTGGAGGTAGTGTGTGCAATTGTTGCAGAAAATTAAAGGAGTCGGATTTCGAAATCAAGAGAAACTTTATTTTGGCCAAAATGGTTCAAACAGAAATATAATTGTCTAACATCTGAACAACATTCTGTAAAAACACACAGTCTTATAGTCTTCAGTAGTAGCAAAAACAGGAAATATGTGAAATCAGTCTTAATGGCTAGGCCCCCTTATTGCTTAGGCAGGAAAGCTGATTCATGCTGATCCATGTGGTTTTTAGTTCTGCATTTTGACATGGAAGGAGACAGTTAACTCTGCAGTTTGACTTTTTGAACTCAGCAACTGTCTCTTACAATAACAAATCAAGGGACCTTTAGAGATCATTCAAGCCAACCCCATATTATTTCACTCTTCTATCCAAATTTCACTTTACGTCCTACTTTACAATTGTTGCAGCCTCAACCAAAAATCCAGACTGTAGCAGTGCAGGATAGCAAAGATAGCACCTAATTTACCTGTTGCTTAGATTATTTCAGAGGTTGCTTAATACATATTAGGCTCTAACCACTAAGAGGTGCTGTGTCAGCTCTTTTGCTTTATACATTAAAATCAATCTGTGGACCTTGAGGACCCTAGTTCAGAAAAGAAAGTGCATTACCAAGACCAAAAGAAAGCTATAGCAGATATTTATCCCTGTGATGTATATATACCACAATACTCAACCTCACATTGTATATTGAGCCGAACTAGAGGCACAGCTGAATTGGGGGGGGGGAGTGTTGCTCCCTACCCTGCAGCAGACAGTGCAACAGTGCATATTTATAACCTGCAACCCTAATGCAGCAGTACAGTGCAGTCTATCTGTGCTGCTAAGGATTCCAGCGCTTGAAAGGGCCAAAAAACCGAACCGCAAGGAGAGGGTTAGATACCAGAAAGCCCCGCCGGTGAAAGAAAACGGGTTTGGGGGCGTGTGTGAAAAGCTAGTCCCGAAGGTTGGGGGTCGACACCCCCCCCTACTCCCTCTTCTCCGCGCCGACCGGCGAGTGACCATTTCTCTCACTAGGTGGCGTCGCCATCTCCAACGCGGCTCTTCTTATTTTCTTTCCTCAGAGCTGCCCGGCACCGAGACCATCCCGAAGCCGCTGGAAATCGGCTCCCGCTGCAGCAAGACGCGGAGGCCAGCGCAGGCTAGCGCTTCCCCTCCCCCGGAGCTGCGAACTCGAGGAAAGAGACGCCGCTGAAATGCAACGCGGGGAGGAGCGCGGTTGGCTCGGGACTCCCTCCGCCTCGGCTGCTTTTTTCCTCCTCTCGTGCTGCGCCTGGGGTGAGTGAGTTGCTGAGTTGCGGGCAGCCCGAGCAAGAGCAACTGCTGTCGCCGCCTCTTTCCCTCTTCGGGGCGGGAAAGGAAAAGGCGCCACCAGCACCAGTAGCAGCAATCGCCGCACGAGAGCTGCTTTCCAGCCGCTAGCCCTGCTCGGTCCGCTTTCTCCCCCATCCGTGAGGGGAAGCGGATGCGGCGGGAGCTTTCACCCCCGCCTTGAAGTTTGTTCGCGGGATAGGCTGCTGGCGGGGAACAGAGGGAAGTCGCTTGCCCTTCACCCCTCGGCGTTGCTCAGGGCGGCCGCTGTTTCCTGTCCCTCTTCGGTTTAGCGTTGCAGCCTGTCCGGCAGGGGGAAAAGTCCGGAGTCCAGAGCCCAAAATCTTTGTTTTTGCTGAGGTTGAGGACCGAGGGGGGTTGGAGTAATAACCCCGGAAACGAGTTGAAAACTCCGGAGAGGCAGGGCGCTTTTCAGCTCTCTTCAAAGTGGTTCACACACACACACACACACACCCAGTCCTTAAACCAGAAAGCGGGCATGGCGTCAAATTTGCCGCCCCCGCTGGGTGAGCCTTATGCCACCGATGCGACGACGGGAAGCGCGCTGGCCTTATGTATTGGTGTGCAGGACGCGTTAAAAGGCAAGGAAGGGTGGATGGATTCCCCAGGCTTTTGTGTCTCCCACCAGATCAGTCAGGCGGGAAACATCTCTCGAGTCATTCTCCCTAATAATTGGGCCAAAGGCAAGTTTTGATAAATGGCTAAGCAGGGCAGATTTAGCCGTCTGTTAAAATTTATTGCCACCGGTGTGTGTGTGTGTGTGTGTGTGTGTGTGTGTGTGTGCCAAAGAAGCAGCCTACAAACACCCGCCCTGCCTCTGAGCTGCCACAGAGGCTGCTGCTTCTCTGAGGCAGGGCAAGGGGTATGGTGATGTTCCTGCAAGCTTATGGTTCATAACCTTACTGCAATATCTCTTTTCCCGTTCAGATAGGTTTTTGTGGGTTGAATAGCAAGTGATAGGATATAGTTGGAAAGGCAGAGTGACTGAACAAGTGATGCGTGAAGTTTAAGTATGACAAAGGAAGGAAGAAATAGGCATCTGAGTTATCTTGGCAGAATTGGCTTGGAGTTTACACACTGATTATGTATTAAATGTAAAGAAAAAAGCAAATCGGTTTCAGATATGTGGGAAAACGAACACACTATGTTCCCACAACTACATGCATGGGCCATGTGATTCAGTAGCCAAGATTGACAATTTTCCGATGCTTATATCTTGGTTATGAACTCAGAATGAATGTCATGTCTAGTTAACATTCCCCTTTATTTGAGGCATGGTTTTTCCGTTAGTTTAAATTTCTAGTTAAAAATGGCAGCTGCTGTAAGTTTGGGCAACACAATTAACTGGAGAAAAGCCACTGGGGAGCTTCGTGAGATGGCTACAAAAAGCTGATCAACATATGCACCTTGATGAGTTGGAGTTGTTTAATGTCCCTGTGGCCTCTCTAGTAGTATAGCTATACTGTTAAAGGATTTAAGAGCTTCAGCATCTACAATGACATGAAGAAGATGCTTTGAAACTAGCAAAATATATTTGAATACTACCGTAATTACTGTACGGTAAATACTGCCCTATATTGGGCAACATTTTTATAAGATAAAAATGTTTGTTATGGTAGAAAAACTTATTTTAATATCTGTTTGCATGTCTCCAGATTCAACTGATTCCTGGCAGTTGATAGATGGCATTTTAAAACTAGCTTTTTTCTTATTGAATGTTGAAAGGGGTTATCATTTATCTTTCGGTCTTTTAGTAATCATTTCCTACTCAGGTTTGCACACTGAAATCCTCTTAAGAGTAAAAATGGAGAAACTAGAAATGTATTAGCATAAAGTATTATCAGGTAGTGGATAAAAATTGGCTTTTTGGATCTCTTCTTTTGATTTTCACTTCTATTTCTGATATCTGGTGGCATACAGATGCCATAAATATATTAAGCCAAGAAAGCTAAATTGCAGTATAAATATAAGAAGTACTTCCCTTCATCCTGATGTTCTACAAACAGATTTTTCCCTCTAGGAACAGACATTTACCAGTACTTACTCTATGCAGAGCAATCTATAACCAACTAAGATTGTAAATTGACAGAGACTCACAGAGCTATCAATGAAAGATAAATAAAAGAAACCACCCAATACATGTTGATTTCAAATAAGACTAAAACATCTCCCAGGAAAGAACAAAAATGAAAGATAGCCCTTAAGTGTGTGTTTGTGTGTGTGTGTTTGCACAGGCTTTAATGGTGGTAGTATTCCAGTTCTAATTGCTGTTCAAAAATTAAAATATAATATCTGTAGGCCTACAAAACATAATACATAAGGGAAAGTAATGAAGACAAAAAAGGAAAACGAATATATTAAGTTCCAAGTTACATAATCTCACTTCTATCACTTGGCATACAGAGAGAAAAAAAGCAGTTTCTGAGATCTGTCACTGCCTTTTGTGTATTTGTCAATTACATAATAAAACCTAAGAGGAAGCCCAATAAACTTCTGTGATTCATTTTAATGGTCTTCTTTCATTTGTAGAAAAGCTTTGGATCCAACATAGGCTTGTACTATTCATAGAGGAAGGGAGGCTGTTGATTCTCCATTTCCCCTGAAGATGCTGCCTGCTGAAAATGTGCTACTGGCAGCAATAAGGGACCTTTCAGATCAGCAAGAGAGATAGTGTTGAGAGGCAGGAGGAGAAATTGATGAAAATCCTCTCTTTGTTACAAGAAGCCTCTGCTAGTTCACATGGAAGACTAACAGTGCAGGCACTGTTAAAATCATACCATCGAAATGTTAGCAATTACAAATGTTATTTGGAAACATATTATTGTTTATTCTTTTTCTCATGTTCAGCTTATCTTATTTAATGTAACCAAATAAGACCACCTATTCATTGACAGGCCTAGAGAACCCAAGATTTAAATAGATGTTCAAAAAATCTGCAATCCCATGTTCGCACTTATCTCTGCCAAAATCCCAAGAAACTCAAGGGAGTTACTTCTGAATAATACATAAGCCAACACTCTTAGTTAAATAATTAAATCATTTTCTTTCTAGAACTTTTCAGTTGTAGAAATCTAAAAGTAAGCTTGTATGACTGCTGGGCTGAAGCTTCATCCCTATTATTCATTAAGTGATGATCTGGGAATATGTTTTATTTAGGAAGCATTCACTTTTGACACCTAACTGTATTGCATAATTTACCAAACCAATGGAGAAAAGGATTGGAGAAGAGGAAGAGGAAATAAAAATATGATCTGTATCTACATGCAAAAGGGAATTTGCACATTATACCTGTATAGATTCAACTTTGGGGCATGAGGCAGTGGAGCAGTAAGTAAACAAATGAGAAAGAGAAGTACTGACTCAATGTAAAAAGGAAATGCCCTGTGTATGTTTGACAGTGTAAACATGCCTAAAATGAATTTTATATTCCCATTGGTGTTAGTGAGTCTCGTTGAACTCAACAAGTCTAATTTGCATAGGACTGCATTATGAAACACAAGTAAGATTTATTTACAGGGTTTCTTTCATAGAGTTAAGATCATAAAGAAAAATTTGTTTTTGACAGAATAGTTGTAGCTCAGGGATGAACTGTGGGTCCTTGGTGCTCTGAACTTGATTGCTTTCTTGCAGACGTTTCATTACTCAACTAGGTAACATCGTTAGTACTAGAAGGAAGTGGGAATAGATTTCTTTTTGTATGCTAGTGAAGCAGCCCCTAACCTTTTGGTTTCATGGAGAGATTTTTCCACGGATTGAAGGCATAGGTTTGCATGCTGCCTGCATCCCACAGATGGGGCTTTGCGTGTTTGCATGGCCTGGTTTCTGGCACGCCACGGCCCATTACCGGTCCAGGGTTGGAAACCTTTATACTAGTGGCTTGCTCTGTCACTGTTGGTGGGAAAGTTTATCTGCTAATTTAAAAATGGGTTATCTGTTTTAATTGTGGATGGATTTAAGGTATTTAAAGTATTCAAATGTAATCATTTGACGTGGTGGCTCAGTGGCTAAGATGCTGAGCTTGTCAATCGAAAGGTCGGTAGTTCAGCGGTTCAAATCCCTAGTGCCGCGTAACGGGGTGAGCTCCCATTACTTGTCCCAGCTTCTGCCAACCTAGCAGTTTGAAAGCACATAAAAAATGCAACTAGAAAAATAGGGATCAGCTTTGGTGGGAAGGTAACAGTGTTCCGTGCGCCTTTGGTGTTTAGTCATGCCAGCCACATGACCACGGAGACGTCTTTGGACAGCACTGACTCTTCAGCTTTGAAACGGAGATGAGCACCGCCCCCTAGAATCGGGAATGACTACCACATATGTGCGAGGGGAACCTTTACCTTTACCTTTAATCATTTATTTATTTATTATTTATTTATTTATTAAACTTCTATACCGCCCTTCTCCCGAAGGACTCAGGGCGGTGTACAGCCATATTAAACAAACATATACTCACAAAATTTAAAAACAATTTAACAATTTGACAGAATATGGAAGTTTCCTACATGATTCCATAAATTGATTGCTGTTTTCTTATCTAAATATTTTTTCTACATGCCATTTATCACCATAATCTGCATTACTCCTGGAGGTGTACAATAAAACCCATTAGGACAGATGATGCACTCTCATTATCTCCCAAGTGCTCTCCAACAAAGTAATTTTTATTAGCTAATAATATTTTTGATTATCCAGTCATAATCTAAATAAAATTAAGAATGCAATAAATGCCCTTACTTAAGTTTGCTAATAGGCTGAGTAAAGAAAGCCAGGCTGAAATTAAATCTGGTCAGTATTGCGGGTCAGTAGGAGATAGCACTTGAGAATTCACATTCAGCATGTTGTGAAAAGGGTTACATTCCTCCTGAAAGAAAGAGCAGTCTCACAGTTTTAAGATGTCATTGCTGGTCTGAAAGATAGTGGTTTCATAGAATGCATTTGCTCTGTAGTCTTTTATTACTCTCATACTCTCATATGCAAAAAACAAGGAATGCAAAAAAGGAAATATTTTTTCTTACATACAAATAAAAACATCAACATCAATATTAAACTTTGAACATCCAAAATAATACTGGCCAACCTTTCCATAATGTAAATAGAAAGCCACTTCATAGGCACAGATTCAAAAACAGGTGTCTTCAAGACTGCAAACTAGAGATAGTAACTTCCCCTCATTAAAAAAAACCTATTTTTTTTTTTGCTAACCCTCTTTCTCAGTTAATCTATGTCTGCCTTTGTGAGTTATTGGGGAAGTATAAGGCACAACTGGATGAAAAAAGAGTAAAAGGAGAAACAGCAGAAAATGGACATTTTACAGTAGCCTTCCCCACCAAGCCACGCCCACCAAGCCACATCCACAGAACCGGTACTAAAAATTTTTGAAACCCACCACTGCCCTGGCCCCATTTCTGCCTCTGACGCAGAGCCCTCGTCCGAGCCTTCCTCAGACTCCAGGACTGGCCCATGTTCTTCCTCAGCCTTCTCACTGTCCGACTCTGCTGCCAGCTCTGCAGGCTGCTGGCGGATCACAAGCTGCAGCTTTTGAGGGCTCACTAGTGCCAACTGTGTGCTGGCAAGAATTGAACTTTTCTCCTATGCGGCATCTCTTTCATTTACGACCTACCAGACCACCATACCAGGCCAGTTGTTCCTTTGATGTTTACTTCTTCCACTTTCCCACCCCAATCCAGGGGAAGGTTACTGCAAAATCCCCATTTCTTCCCGATCAGTTGGGACTCAGGAGGCAGAGCATAGATGGGGGCGAGGCCAGTCAGAAGTTTTACTACCGGTTCTCCAAACTACTCAAAATTTCCGTTCCTGGTTCTCCAGAACTGGTCAGAACCTGCTGAAACCCACCTCTGGGCCAGGGCCATCTGGGAGTTATGTGGGGACTCCGGAGCCTCCGGACATCAGAGAGGCAGAGGAACAGGGGGAGCCTGTTCCTAGTGCGCGCATGCGCAGAGCTGCCAGAAGGCAAGAACAGTTAAAATAAAAGGGACGACTCGGGAGTAAGGCTTGGAGATGATTGGCCCCTCCCATAAGACATAAAGGAAGAGCAAAGGGACGTGGCCTTTGCTGGAAGCAATGTGGATGGTGTCGGTTTGTACTTTGAAGCTCCATTTTTGACTCTGCTTCCGTGTGGCCTTGCCAAGATAATTGCCAATTAGGTTTTTGGCAGCGTGTCAAGGAAGATAAAGGTGGGTGTTTACCAGCCTTATCTGAAGGACTGTGGCAGTCTTCTGTTGGACTATTTATAAACTTGTGGTGATTCAGCACATGCTGTGAATGAAAGGAATTCACAGCCCTTAAAATTAATAAAAGTGTTTTTGGACCAATTGTATGCTTTTTACTATATCAGGAAGCCTAGGTCAGAACACAGCTGTCATGGTGGAGACATTCGGCAAAATGTCAGTGGGGAGAGGAGAGTCTCAGCAGAGTTGTGTAGGGTTAGAAGGTCACCAACTGTCATCTGTTTCTTCCAAGAAATACAAACCTATGGAACTGGTGATTGATGTGGTTGCTTGACTAGGTCAACAGAAGTGATCAGAGAAAAAAAATTGGAAGATCAGAGGAGAATCTGAAAGGCTATTGGCTCTGTGCAACATTTGGCACTTGTTTCATCTGTCCCCTGTTGTAATTTGCCTGTGTAGAATTACACAGTGACTTGTGTGAGAATGGTGGCCATATAATTGTAACTTATGTGAGATGAGTGACCATATAAGACGATTGTGAGATGGGAGAGAGGGAGGGGGGGAGAGAGAGATACTGAGGCAGTAAAAAGCAATATTCATCCATCTCTCTAACTTCCAGAACAGCATTGATTGAAGTACATCGAAGAGGGAGATTTAACCAGGGCAGATGGTCCCAAAAGTAATCTGATCCAAATCATGCAACGCTTGAATTGCACTTGGAAGAAAAGGGAAATATCTGATGCAGCACCTAAATCAGTGGTTTAATCATCCCAAAGCATTTATCAATTGTGCTGCTACATTCTGCTGAAATAGGTTAAACAGTTTCTTTCTTATTTAGCAGATTTCAGACTTATTTAAAAGATTTCAGACTTAAAATTGTTAATTCCCAAAAAATTCATTGTCTAAAAGGAGTCCATACTTTATTGTACAATACTCTTAAGCAACAGGCTCACTGGTAAATTACCAATATATTACAAACTTATCATTGCTGAGAAAGGTAGCCACCATAACAACTAGTAATAACGTTATTTCGCACAATACAACCACACTTGACAGGTATAACACCTATAAAATCTTGCTGCAAGTCTTTTAATGACTGTATCCAACTGCTTCTTGTAGATCATGCTTTAAAAATTAAATGCACTTTCGATATTCATATAGTACAGTATTACTTCCCTGTGTGTATTTAGGTAAACTACTCTGTGACCAAACATGAAGATGGTATCAAATTATTCAGGGTAATGGGTTTTAAAGCAGAATAAGGAAAAAACCCAGTGAGAGTAAGAATCACAAGAAGAAATAAGGTTTTCTGTAAGCAATTAAAAATAATGTGTATAAAATATATTAAAATTCTTTGAAAAACTAATTGAGGTTGTATTAGACCGTTCATTGGATTAACTAAACTGCATTGGCAAATACTATACTATGTATTTTTCCATTATTTACCAAATAAATTTGAACTCAAAATAGTTCTGCTGATCATATACATATATATATACATACATACATACATACATACAAACATATAAAGTGCTTTTCTATCGAAGCACCTGGCCTACCCCAATAGGAGACGGAGCATACTGCTTCCCTTTCACCTTTCAGCTGCAATCCAGGAGCCCTCAAGCAATCGCATTCACGACAAACCATTTTATACCAAATTTATATTTGCTGATAAAGAAATAAAGAGAGACTAGCATAGTTCTATTTCAAGCTATTTAGCTCTCATCAGCTAGCCATACCCTTACTCGGATTCGAACTTGGGCTGCCTGCATATTAGGCAGTTGCATTAATCTCTGAGCCACAAGTTCTCCTCCCTTTATCAGCTTGAGCCAGGGGAGAGATTAAGTGTTTTTCTATCGAAGCACCTGATCTACCCCAATATGAGAGGGAGCATACTGCTTCCCTTTCGCCTTTCAGCTCCAATCCAGGAACCCTCAAGCAGTCGCATTCACGACAAACCATTTTATACCAAATTTATATTTGCTGACAGGGAAGCAGTATGCTCCCACCCATATTGGGGTAAACCAGGTGCTTCAATAGAAAAACATTTAATCTCTCCCTTATGGCAATTTTTTTTTCAAATTATGCCAGATAATGTTAGTTTTGTCTATCTTATGACTTGTAAGCCTTTAACTGCAAATGTTTGGGAAGCATATTAATGGTGCTTCTGCTGCTGTTCTGATTGTGCCCAGATTCTGATTGTGGCTGTTTCTTAGACTTGTTATCCTGACATTGTTTCAGGAAAAATGAACTGTGAACAATTTCAGCCTCTGAAGAAGTCCTGTTTAATAAATAAAAACGTTAAGCTTAACCTAAGGGTAAAGGTAATATAGGTATGAAATGCATGTTACTTAGAAAAGTGAAGTGCTGGATGACAAAGCTATATGTGTGTATAAGGCTGTATAGATTTGGTTTTGACTTGAAACTATCTAAATTGGCTTCAGATCAGATCAATATTTTTTTTTATTCCAGGAAGAATGGAAATAACATTTTCACACTACAGCAAGCAATACAGTACTAATTTCATATGTAATTATCTCATGCTTGAAACTAATGTCTATAATAATGACTATTATAGACATTCTACACATTTAAGAAATATTATCTAAATTGCTTTTTAATATCTATGTAAACATAATTTCTCATATTTAAAAAAACAAGACACACACTTGAGGGGAGGATAACTTTGTTCTCCTTTTTTCCAGCTTTAATTCTACATGTTGCTGCTGAAAATGGAAAAGATTGGATTGAACTTCTGTCAGAGGTACTAAATTTCTTGTCCAAAGATAGCAAGAAACTTTGAAAAGATTTATCTGTAAAATATGTCAAGTTTTGATATACTGGTAAATAGGTTTGCTTGAAATGCAAAGAAGTTTTTCACAGCTGTGATTGTGAACAGCCTTGTAATCTCATATGTTAGAATTCTGCTTTGATACCCATCACACGCTTACTGTCCATTGGAGTTGAGCAGCTTATAAATTCAAAATTAAAAAAATACTGTTCATTTATGGTTCAATAGCCAGGTAATCTTGTACTTACACCTGGAATTGAGCCTGGAATTATTGTCATAAGTTGGGTGACTGTTTATTGGGTAATCACGTGAGTGCAGTCAATTTTATACATTTATTTATTTGCCTGATCTGTGTTTTTGCTGGAAACTGGCAACTGCCAAAAAGTGCCGAAAATCTCAGTCATGTGACAGTGGCACACTCAAATGGTCATAAATGCAAGCCGGTTGCCAACGCCACAAACGGAGGGCTCTAATTTATTATAGTAGTGATACTGAATGATTTCTATCACTGAGTGATAATTTAATTAATTATTTTGAAAGCTTACTTTTTGTACACACAAAAAATGTCCCCAGTTACACAAACCATCTTTTAAATGTCTATAAAAACAAATTGCCAAAATGAGTATTAGCAGTAACCAATTCGATATGCACAACAGATCCTGATTCAAATTTTTAAGGTATAAAATGTCTCTCTAAAGGAATTCTACAGAAAGTGTCATAAAAGCACATAAAATTACATATATAAACAAGACTTTTCTAAAATCATTACCTGACTGCAAGGATGCTGGGACAGGTTGAATTTAGAGGACTGTTTGTCAGTCCCATTCTTCAGCATCGTTGTAAGTTTGAACAGTCACTGAACGAGTGGTTGTGAGGTGAGGGCCACCTCTAAAGTGTTCACATTTCAAAACAAACTCTTTCCCGAACCGCAAGCAAAATGTAATATCTGCAAATGCAAGCAGCTTGCATAAACTTAATATCTAGAAACACATTTTTCTTTCTGCATGAACATTACATGTTTGAAAGAGGCTGCATGAAATAATGCTATGTAAATTTACATCAAGTATTTTTTTGTATTCCTGTATGCACTGCTTTACTGTGGAAGGTGGAGGGACTCTGTAAAACTGCTGTCGGTAATCTTTTGGTACCCAAGCATCATACAGAATTTGGGAAATTTTGAGGAGTTTTTTATGGGGATGTTTTATGTTTTAATCTTTTAGTGCATATTTTCCTCACAAAATGTCAGGAAAGTTTCCTATCTTAAAATGAGAACAGTCAGTAGTTGCAGCCAGAGGATGCCCTAAATGCTATAAAAGGGACATTGTGGGCTGTAGACTGCTAATGTCTGATGGAAGGAAGGGAAAGAAAAAGCAAAGTGATTAAAGGGCTGCAGGAGAAATTCAGTAAAGTTAAATCAAAGTGAGCAAGGATTTGGAATAGGTTAAAGAGGTTATATGTTGCAGGTTGTTGAGAAATACTTTAAACAATTAATTCCCTTCTGCCTCTTTATGATGCTGCTCTATTTCATTGGTTAGGAAATGCTTCCTCTTGAGTAGTGAGATTGCCACATGATGTATAGGCGATTTCAGCAAGTATCTGCTATCAGTTGCTTAGTCACTATTGAATAATAGTCAAGATATTTTTTAGAACTTGGTTTCCAGGGTGATGCTATGGTGAACTTTTTGCTCCAAAGCACAGTGCTAAGTTCTGAGATCTTTGTACATAACACCAAATTATTAGATTTTGTTTTGGCCTTTTCAGCTGTATTTGGATTGTAATATAATTAGGATTTGAGCTTTCCTGGGATGTATGTTCTCATCAATATTTGGCCACATGGACTTACTTGAAAAAGTAGTTTCTTTTAATTATCTATATAAGTTCCAGTCAATTATAACAAACAGAAAATTTAAAATGGCAAATTTGATCACAGGAGCTAATTTTTTATACTACGATTTCTAATAAAGTGGTATAAAATAATGTTCTGCCAGGGACCCGTCCAATAAACCTATTTAAGCTAGGGATAGTGTAGTGTGGTAACTAAGAATGTGAACAGGGAATTAAAGGCTTAACTACCAATGCATCTGGCAGCTTTAGGCTACATGAAAATAATAAGATCAGTCTAACTTTTGCTGGGCTTTTATAAGAATTACTGAGTTGGTAAGCGTGAGGCTCATTAGATATTTAAAACTTGTAATATACCGTATTTTTCGGAGTATTAAGACGTACCTTTTTCCCCAAAAAAAGAGAGTGAAAATCTGGGTGCGTCTTATACTCCAAATGTAGCCCTGTCCAGCCTCCCAAACGGCGATTTCAGAGGCTGAAAAAAGCCTCTGAAAGAAGCTTCAGAAAAAAAGCCTCTGAAAGGCTGTTATCTAAAATAATATGGCAAGCAACAAAAGAAGAATCAGTAAAGGTTCTAACCAAACTATGTTAACAAATCTGGAGAATGACACAATAACCAACAGATCGGAAGACGTTAATCTACATACCAATACCAAAGAAAGGAGATTGAACAAAGTACAGATAGTCCTTCAGAAAAAAAGCCTTTGAAAGAAGCTTCAGAAAAAAAGGCTTTTTTCCTGAGGCTCTTTTTCGGAGGCTTTTAGAGGCAGAAAAAAAAGTTTGAAGTTTCAGAGGCAGAAAAAAAAAAAGCAAGGCACAGAGCTCACAACCAACAAACCTGTTGCTAAAATTCATCTCTGGAAACAGCAGATTGGGGATATTCCGGGAGGCAGATCTACCTACAAATCAGCTTTTTTCTTATTTTCCTCCCAAAAACCTAAGGTGCATCTTATACTCCGAAAAATGCGGTAAATGGTGAATATTTGTGGATATTTAAGGTTGTGAATATTTTTAACCACTTGTAACTGTCTTAAAAGAGTTTTTTTTTTTTCCTGTTCAATTGCATTGTTAATGTAGTTTCTGATTTCTTAATTCAGATGCCAGGAAAACATGAGCATTCAGGCCAAATAAGCAAAGGTAAGTCAACCTATTTGGTATTAACCTTTATAGTAAGTCTGTTATACTGTTAGTCAGGATGAATAATATCTGTTACATTCATTGTTACATTATGCCTGGTAGTACCTTCTTAGACCTTAATCCTTGTAACTACTATCATAGTATAGTGATTGGATCACAAGTTTACATTATTTTCTTTATCCTCACAAGAACAACTTGTAAGAACATAAAAAGACTTCACATTAGATCAGAACAAATGTATGCTTTATGCAATTGTTTCCCCACAGACACCAACCAGATACATTTTCCATTGCGCTGCTCCTCCAATCCATGGACGGGTAGTATCTTCTAGTTGCTGGGCAGAACTGAGTGCAGATCACTTCCAATTGGTTGGCCACGCCCACATCGTCCAATCATCTCCAGTCTTTCTCACTCAGTTGCTGTGAGAACTGGAGAAATTGAGTGCTCTCTTATTTCTATGATCCTTCCATTATTTTATTATTTTAATTTCTTATTTTTGTGTTTTGACTGTATTGCTTTGGATTGCTGCTGAACGGGACGAGTTTGGGGCTCCAAACCGTCCCGCCAGTCTCCCTGTCCATCGGGACAGCAGCGCACCGGATTCCGACCCGGCTGGGCGGATCCGCGTTACTGACAGCCGCTGACATCGTGAGTTAGACCTGGGGGGGCGTTTGACCAACAGCGACCCCTCAGCTCTTCATTTATAAAGTCTAGAATAACAAATACCCTCTGCTCAATTAAGTTCTCTTTTCAGTAAAAATACGTTGATTTAGCTAGGACAGATTGTCCATCTAGCCCAGAGGTGTCAAACTTGCGGTGTCACATGATGTATCGGGACTTTTTCCCCTTCACTACACCGGGCCTGGGCGTGACCAGTGTGTGACGCATCCGGCCTGTGGGCTATGAGTTTGACAGCCCTGATCTAGCCCAATACTATCTATTCCAGGAGTAAGAAATATGATATCTACTTGCACTGCAGTTATTTGCCATCAACTGGGTTAGCTAATGGGAGCTGAAGTCCAAAATATTGGGGTTGGAATGGGACTTGCAGTAGGTCTTCATGGATATGGACAAAGTTCTTTCTCCTCTTCTGCCACTGCAATGTGATTAATTTTAGTGAAGATCCAAGGGGATTATGCATTGACTGCTGAGTTATGGATTCTTCCTCTTCACTCTTCTGTTTCTGATTAAGTACTTCTGATAAAAGATGTTACTATACTTCATCTTGGCAAGGTTATATTAGTCTCTGCATTAGACTTTTATCTGCTGAATACCATTCTTTCCATGATTGTGCTTATAAATGGTTTGAAACAAGATGGTGTGAAATTATGTTATTGCAAAAAGCATTAGGAGCTGAAGACTAAACAACATGATGATAGTACAGTGGTGAAATCCAATTTTTTTTACTATCAGTTCTGTGGACGTGGCATGGTGGGCGTGGTGTGGCTTGGTGGGCATGGCAGGGGAAGAATACTGCAAAATCTCCATTCCCACCCCATTCTGGGACCAGAGGTGGCATTTGCCAGTTCTCCAAACTACTCAAAATTTCTCTGGTTCTCCAGAACCTGTCAGAACCTGCTGAATTTCACCCCTGGTACAGTTGGATCTCCATGTTCATGGAATACGGATCCTGCATGAGTGATTGAGAGGGACAAATGTTTTTAGTCTTTCAGTAAGTGTCATCAAAGTAGGATAGTTTGTGACCTTTGTGTACATTTGCGTTTGGCTACTCTGACTTGACTTCAGGCATCTGTGTAATTAGACACAGAAAATATCTTATGGGAATTTGAAAGAGGTTATGCATCTGAATACTATAGAAGTTGTACTGTCTATATTCCTGAGACTGTGCATTATTAATATGAACACTAATATAAACTTGCTCTTATTTGCTGACTTTTGATAAATGATTTAGTCTTCTATTTTTATATTGTGAGCTGCTTTGTATATTTTGAAATGTGGTACAGCATAAATACAGTAAAGTTAACTTTAGTATAGGTCTGACGAGAGGGGACCTTGATTCAAAGAAATGGACTGGAAGGGATGGCGATACAAAGAGCAGTTAGAACCACAGTCCAGATTAGCAGAGATGGTTCCTGATGTGATTGTTTTAGAGCAAAACACAAACGTTGTTTTTCCCCTTCATTATTTGATGAAAGGTTGAATATTTTTAAGAGAAGGTTGCAGGCAGAATTAGAGAAGCAAAGCCCCTGAAAATCTTTCTGGGCAGCAATGAAGCTTTAAACGTCTCATTGATTAATGTGAAAGCTGTTTTAAAACGTTGATATAAATAGTAATCAGCTTTGTTTATCAGTAAGAGCCCCTTTCTCTTGATCTTAGTAATAGTTGAAACAAGGGCCTAGGTGTCAGGTATGGCCTGGGAAATTAATTGGTGGATAAGATGAATAATTTCTTTCAGCTGTCTTTGAACCATTGAGACATTCATCATGCTTGGATCAAAATGTAGAATGCCATAATTAGCACAAAAGGTTTAATGTAATTGTATCTAATGTATAGCAATATTGACATTAAGTCCCTCTCTAAGGAAGATGGGTGGTTAAGAAGTATGAGAGATGGATGGATGGATGGATGGATGGGTAGGTAGGTAGGTAAGTAGGTAGGTAGGTAGGTAGGTAGAGAGAGATAGGAAGGAAGGAAGGGAAAGAGAAAGACAGACATCAGGGCAACCTATTGGTGCAACTAATAATATGGCAGCATACAGCTCTTTAGGTAGAAGAAATCAATACCTTTTAATTATTATACGTATAATTATCTTCAGGATCTGATGATTAACCGGTATTGAAACAAGAATGAAGAGATAATTAAAAGTCCCAATAGATTCTATTATATATGTTAAGGAAATCATCATTCTTGTAAGTACCACGGTGTGAATTTTTTTTGTAGCAGTGAGACAAGTTTAGATTGTTTTTTACAGGAGCATAATGCATCCGAGAAAATGAGTAGCATTTAAAACTGTTTACTCTAAATGAAATAGTAAATTACCTTCGGTTCATTGAACAAATACTTTAAAAATCCAATTCGCTATACAAATTCATGTAAAATTACATGTGTATTTTTATTGTATCTTATTTTCCACAGTATGGTTTGTGAATTGGATTTTCAGTGGTTAATAAGGTTCTGGCATTATTCTTTTATTTAAATGTAAAACTTTTTTCTTGCTTTTTTCAGCCAATTTCTTAGAATTCCGGAGATACTCATGTATGCGTACATTACTTGAAAACTCAAGGTGTTTTTCAGTGGGCTATTTACAATAATACTGAATTCACTTAACTATTGTTGACATTGTTTATTTATTTCTATTTACAGAGCTAAGGGAAATAGTATTTGTCATCCAGAGTCAGAAGAATTCTTATCATTTGAAGAAAGCTGATGGTCTTAAACGAAGTATTTTAAAACAGGCTGCCTCTTTGGGAAAGGTACGCTATATATTATAATTCCAGGATATGTTTTTCATTTAAAGCTGAAAAGATTCACCTCTACAACTGGGTAAGAGTTGACTTCTAAGCTTCCATTCATATATTCTTTAATTATTTTTTAACATGATGCTTATGCTATTTGATTTTTCCTTTGTTTTGCATGATTTTTTTTCTCCTCATTTAGGCACATCATGCAGATTAAAATTCATACCTGAGTTTTGTTTAATAATTGATCATAACAAGGTCCTAACTTATTAATATGTATTTCTTGCATGTTTGTTTTTACTGACAAAATAAATGCTAAGTTCTTAATTTAAAGTCAAATAGAACTTTATTTGCATTGTTGCCTTTTAAATAAAATCAAGACTATTTGGGGTTCATGGGAGTTAGAGGAGCTAGATGCAAGTTAACAAGGTTAGCTCTGTCACGGTAATTAATTGATTACAGGTAGTCCTTGTTTAGCAATCCAATTGGATTGGCAACTTAGTCACTAAGTGCCAGTCACTAAGCAGAAAATCACACAATCACAACAGGTTTAGAATCTTACCTCCCCTTTGGTTGTTAAGTGAAAGACTATGGTCACTAAGTGAAACATCACCTGATCATGGCTTATAATTTTACTTCTGCCTTCTCTGTTAACTTTTCTTGCTTGTCACAGCCAGTTGTAAACACACAAATGGTGATCACATGACCACAGGATGTTGCAATGCTGGTAAATATATGCTGGCTGCAAAGCACATGAATGGTGATTATATGACTGATGGGCACTGCAACGGTCATAAATGTGAGGATTGGTCACAAAGCTATTTTGTTTACACTGTTTTAACTTAGAACAGTCCTTAAACAAGGCAGTATGCAAGCAAGGACTCCTTTAGAATCCTCTGGCAGGCTCCAGCTACTGCCTGAAACTGACCAGACTTTAATCAGTTTTACTTTGAATGCTTTTGTTGTTCTAAATGTTGGCATTGAGACAAAGTTACTTTTTTATAATCATCCTAATTGCAAAAAGTTGCTATCGGAGGAAATTGCTATCTCTAACTATTTATCAATAGACATATTTTGAAACTGTAAGCAAGAAGGTGATAGACTAACAATTGAAATTGAAACTTAACAGCAGTTTCAATTCTATCAACACGACAAGGAAAATTAATATTGTAACCAAGGGAAATTATCCCTGCCTGTGTAAATTTTTTAAAGAATTTTTTAATAAAATTCATGAAAAGTCTGGAAAATGATAATATATCTGATATGATTTTCATACATTGTTTTGTTTCTATTTTCTATCTGCCTGATATGCATTTTCTTGTTTCTATCTGGATGTTTGTATTTTCTATCTGATTTGGTATTGGATTGTTAATTTTCCTGCATTCTATGTTACTGCAGTATCCTTGAATTGGTTGACTACAATATATTTTCACAAACTAATGAGTAAACAGTAATAAAACACAGTGAAACTTTTTTATGTTACATTTATTTAGAACTATTAAATGTACTGTTATAAATAGTATATCTAAGAAGAAGAAAGAAATGGCTGCATTATTGTTATTTTGAAAAGAACCGTTATATTGAAGAAAGATATTTTTTATTTGCATGATAAATAATGATGAATAAAAATTAAGTAAGCTATTACTACCACATTGTAGCCACTATTAGTGACTTCATATAGAATTGTTATATTCTCTGAGGTCCATTCCATATGGGCATTTTCCTATACCATCTCATCCATGCATATCAAGTAAATTAAAGAATTTTGTTCCTGACACAAGAGGAATTGGAATTGAATCAAATAACATACGTTTTACATATATAAAATTGTAGCTTCATTCCCTGAAAATAAAAATAATCAGTAGATGATGGAAATGCACGTTGCCTAAAAATTCTTAATTAAAATATAGAATATGTTTCCATATTCTTTCATCCATGTATATTCTTTTACTATTGGGTGAGTGGGTGGGTGGAGAATAAATACTACATGTGATCTGTTATATAGTAATTATAATGTTGATACTGAGAAAAATATATAGATGGAAGTGGATTACTATTTTGCCCTAGAGTAATTTCATGTTAACATCAGGAAGTGGACTGAAATGAAACCTTTGTAATATGCTATTCCGTGGGTAGGTCATGCAGTACATATTTATTTTAGCTCATATTTATTTTATATATAGATTATATGCTACAATGTAGCAGTCCCCAACCTTTGCTTGATGGCCTAGCTGGGAAGGGAGAGGGGAACCGGGCTGTGCGAGTGGTTGGCCCGTATGCACATGGTCCTTGTGCAGCTATACCCAAGCAGCTGTTGTGACCCAGGCCCAAGTAAGTAGTAGGAAAATCAGTCAGTGAAAAAACAAACAAACTTTATTTGAACAGCTGAGAATTACTTCATTCCCAGCGTCGTTCAACTAAATTAAAGCAAATTCCTCCCAACACAAATTCCTCAGTCCTATCGCAAATCTTGGTCCAATTTGGCAAACTGCCAAAGGCCTTTCTTGGCAAACATTCAGAAGTCACAGATACAAAAATAAATACAAGATGTAGACAAAGAAGAAGACGAAGCTATCAACATTGTTTTCCGGCAAAGTCCAAACGCCGTTGCTGGTCTGTTTTAAGCCTTATGGGAGGGGACAGTCATGTCATAGCCCTACTCCCGAGTTGTCCTCTTTGCTTGAGCTGCTCTTGCCTTCTGGCAGCTCTTCTCATGCGTGCATTGGGAACAGGCTCCTCCTGTTCCTCTGCCTCACTCGTATCAGTCTCTGGAAGCTCTGGAGTCCGCACCTCACTCCCCGATGGCCCTGGTCCCATCTCTGCCTCTGACGCAGAGCCCTCATCCGGGCCTTCCCCAGCCTCCAGGACTGGTCCATGTTCTTCCTCAGCCTCATTGCTGTCCGACTCCGCTGCCAACTCCGCAGGCTGCTGGCGGACCACAACAGCAACGGGCCTGTGCACATGCAGCATGCTGCTCAATTGCAAGTTGAGCTATGTGCACATGCATGTGACTCGTGTGACTTGAGTTAAGCACATGCACCAGTCTTTGTATGGCCCAGTTCCGAATAAGCCATGGTCCGATAGTGTGCCGCAGCTCAGGGGTTGGAGACCCCTGCTGTAATGTATTTGGAGAATAACAAGTAAAAATACTGTGAAAGATAATGATGAATTCTAGCTAAACGCAGACTAGTACTTCTTCATCAATTCTAGAAAAGATGGGTGGAACAAGGGGCAGAGAAGGGCACAAGGCCACAGTGTTTGTCCATAATGCATAATAAAACATGATTTATGACGTCATGGATAAATTTTAAAACATGATCTGCAGCATCATATTTTTATTACCTTTGTATGCAAGTTCTCTTGGTACATGAATTTGCGTTAGTATTGAAGCATGAGTCACAATCTGGTTGATTCTTTAACTCACACTAATTTGATGAGCAAGTGGCAGTTAGTTAAGAGGACACAACTCTATTTTGTGCACCAATAACAACCCCTCTTATAAGCCACAATTGGTCCAGAATAGAATAGGGGTCACAGGAACTTATCAATTTGTTCATTTCATCTCACTATTTTGACAGCTGCACTGGTTTCTTATTAGCCCTAGGTTTAGTTCAAGGTGCTAGTTGTCACCTTTAGAGTTTTATATGACTGGAGGTCTTGGTATCTTTCGGACTCCTTATCTTCCAATACAATTTGGAAGTGCAGGTTTTCTTCTAATTTCTATTGTTAGGGAATGTCATCATCAAGACTTAAAGAAGAAATCCTTTTTTTTTTTTTCTTGTCTCTTCTGTGAAATAGCATCCTGGAAACGTGATTGTATTTTCTGGCCAATATTGATTTGGGAAGATCATTAAAACTTGCCAATTTCTGAAGGCCTTTGAGTTGGGACTTTTTACTGTTGTACCCTGTTACTGTGAGGTATTTGTCTAGTGTAATTATTTTTGAAATATTATATGGTGTTTGATTTTCATATTATAATTGTGTGATTTTAAAACTTTTCATAATCTTTTTAACACAATATTTAACCTTAAGGCAGAAATAAAATGTTAAAAGTTCAAATTAAAAATTTAAATAAAGAGAAAAAAGGGAAAAATCTATCTTTATCTTATACTAAACATTGGTGAATAGTAAGGTTTACCAATGAATTCACTATTATAACATGAACAACAGAAGATATTATTGTAAGATATCACAAAATTTCTGCCATACTACACCAAAATTACAGAATGTGCAGAAATGGATAAACTTACAAAAGAACTACAAGAAAAAGATGACACAGATTATTACTTAGTATGGCAAAAATGGTATAACTGGTTGGAGAAAAAGATGGAAAGAGATACATAGGGATACAAAAGAAAGAGGTCAATGTAGAGACAAGAATTTGAGTACCAACTAAGGAATATAACAATTTAAGTATGGAACTTATTATATACTGTCTCATGTAAATATGTAAATACATAGATATATAGATAAGAATAGAAAAACAGTCTACCGATGTGATAGCTTTAAGAAGGAAGTCATAAGACTTGATTTATGTTTGTATGTTTTGCATGTTGTATCATTGTATCTATGTTTGTTCATAATTTTTAATTAATAAATTATTATTATTATTATTATTATTATTATTATTATTATTATTATTATTTCTGCCATACTGCAGTACACATGTTGCGGCATTTTTTGATTAGTAGAGAATCTAGCCTTTTCCAAAACTGATAAATCATACATTCCCAGCAATCATAACTTACCATCTCAAATATATTTATACATCTCATTATTTGGGAATGCCAGTACACCCTCAATACAATTTTTCCTATATTTACAATGTACCTATAAATTTTAACTTTTTAAGTACTTGAAGCCATTGATGTAGCTTTATCAGAAATTCCAGGATTTTAGTTCATGTTGGTAATATCCCAGAAATATCCACTTTAAAAATATTATTGAGCTTTTGATAGAGATATGTTACAGATTTTATTTTTGTCATGGATTTCAAGTAAGAAAGCAATTCAGGT